TTTGCATGATCTTGATAACAATATAACCTATTTTATAAGACAGTGTGGGCTTTGTAACAGAATGAATCAGATTTCTGTTACAGAGCATAAATTGGTGTTTGTATGTCTGCTCTCCTGGGTTGTGAGCAAACTGGTTAGGGACACTATATCCCTCATCTCTGCATTCCCAGAACCCAGAGAAAGTCCTGTTATGCAATCTTCACTGAATTTAGGAGGATGATCAGTTTGATTTCTTTAGTCACCTTCTCAGAGATCTTTGCTGGCAACCTTACTATGGAATGAGTAAATTACAAAGAACAGAGGACTGCTGAGTAAATGGGTAACTAGTATCAGTTTCCTTGAAAAGAATCTTCCATGCCATTTTGGGATAAGGGAAAATAATTGTTGTGGCCTGAGTGCCTTACATTAGGAATGTGTTAAGCACTTTTAGAAAACTGGGGAATGAGTGGTTTCATTTAATTCACTTCCCGCTAGATGATCTTCCATGAAGAAGGAGGAAGTTTGCTAAAGAGAAGTTATTTGTTAGCATAAAACAATACCAGCTACTGGGGCCTCCCCAGTGGCACAGCGGTTGAGCTCTGGGTTGCGAAGCTGCCGGCAGCCTCTGCAACACTGGTTCGATCCTTGGCCACCGGGTGAGGGTCACACATGGTGCGCAGACCTCTCCTGCCACCCACTGCTCCCCTCAGCAGTGTACTTCGTCAGTCTGCCTGTTCTGCTCTCCGTTCTGTCTCTGGTGAATTCTCTCACCCTCCTGCACTTCTGACTGTACCCAGTGCTTGTATAAATAAATAAATCTTTAAAAAAAAACAAACAATACCAGCTACTAACCCATTATAATCATCATAGTGCTTTGTCTTTACCATCACAAAAGTATCTGAGCTGCCAAGAACAGTGTAGTGGATTTGCACATTTTTCAGGCTTACGAGAGAAACCTTGTGGATCTGGGTGGGAGACCCTCGGAGGTTGGAGGTGGGCATGGTCTGACTGTAATGCAGTAGTTGCCTTGGTAACTCAGCATGGATGTCTCACCTGGGACAGGCTTAACAAGTTTGTCTGCAAGGGCTTGTGGCATCCCTGCTGCCTGCTAGGTCTGGGGGTTGATATTGAGCATTCTCTCCAATTCAACATGGCCTTTCATCAGTCAGCTCTACACTACAGGAAATTATAGCCAATTAGGGTCATATCTGAGTTGTTATTTTTCAAGGGGTTACTGAACACATTGCCAAAGAAATGACTGTTGGAAAACGACATATTCAATCACACATTCTAGAGAATAGGTGGTTGAGGGTGGATTTCTGCTGAAACCTAATGGTAAGCAGAGTTTTAGGGTACTACATGGGGTAGAGGTATGGGGAGGTGCATGTAGCTAGTGTATATGGAAGGGCAACATCAGCAGAGTGAGGTGTTCTCTTACATGAAGGTACAAGAGTTACAGGCATGTCTCAATACTGTCAGAGGTGAGAGATCCAAGCACAGTTCTTAGCACTGCACCCAGTTTCTAGGAGTTCCTTACACTATCCCTGGAAAATGGATACCCTGCTACCCCTCGCAGAGCTGCATGTAAAGGTGAGGCCACATTCCTTCATGCATGACAGGTGGTGGGCAGTTCCCACAATCAGCTGTTATCGTTGTTTTAATAGACACGTCCCCTTGAGTTCATCAGGTAATTTATATCATCACTTCAGGTATGGAGGGCCCCTTATTTTATGTTCTGGAATGCACACATTGAACCAGTCTCCGTGTTTGTTTTATGTCTGCCCAGGAATGCAATGTGAGGAATGAAGTCAGGGTTAGCCCTGGGTGCTTTTCTTGAGTTTCAGTCTTTATGGTACATATGGGTTTATTCAAGTCCTTTCAGTCTTTCCCCTCACCTTTCCCCACCCCTTAGTTGGAGCAACAAGTTACAACAAGGCTCCCAAAGTTTATTTACAAGAAGGTCTCCATCATCCTCCTTTATCATAGGTCCTTCCTCCTCAAGAGACACAGAGAGCCAGAAGACACAAGATGGCACAGCTCCACTCTCGGAAATACCTCTTGTGGGTGCGGCCTGAAAGAGGAGACTCAATGAAGTGTATGTGGATGCTGTCCTGCCCCCAGCCAAGCTTTTGAGAGCTGGGCTGCTTCAGTAGAACGAGACAGAGAGGGATGATGACACCATGACAGAGTTGTCTGCAGAAGTGGTGTTGGGAGCAGAGAATAGCCACACTTTATTGTGCATGATCTAATAGGTCTAACAGAACACCAGCAATCTAGAAGGTAACCCAAGAGCTAGTATTCAGAGATTCAGTTAGCTTTCACTTTGTCCTGGAGTAACCCAATAGCAAGCATCTGTGGGATGCCACACTGGACAGGCTGCCAACCTGCTGGCACACTCAGGACAAAGATAGTCTTATCACTGACTTAGTTTCAAGGTTGACAGCAAAGCTGACATGGTGGAACAAAGCAGATCTAGGTATGTGGGGTGGGGACTGGACAGGTGGGTAGATCGGAGACTCTAGTTGAGGATAGACCATTCATTCTCTTGTTCAATGTCAAGGTCAACTCAGTCCCAAAGATTGTCCTGAATGTCATGATGAGGAGAGTAAAATGGTTCAGAACCTGTGTTGTGGGATCCCTAAGGTTCCCTGGAATTATCAGGGATATTTTGAGAGATAGATGTATAGTTTTACCCTATGACAACCTTCAACATTTTTATGTATTTATCTTCTATCAACTTTTATTTGAAGCAAGGAAATTCTCTAACTCCTTAGTAGCCCTTAACGCTAGAAACAGGGCCTCCCCTAGTGGCGCAGCTGTTGAGTGCTGGGCTGCAAAGCTGCCCGCAGCCTCTGCAGCGCCAGTTTGATCCCCAGCTGCTGTCGTGGGTCCCACAAGGCACGCAGACCTCTCCTGCCATGCCTGTTGCTCCCCTCAGCAGTGTATTTCATCAGTCTGCCTGCTCTGTTCCCCGCTCTGCTCTGGTGAATTCTCTCACCCTCCTGCACTTCTGACTGTACCCAGTACTTGTATAAATAAATAAATAAATAAATAAATAAATAAATAAATAAATAAATAAATAAATAAATAAATCTATCTTTAAAAAAAAAGTTAGAAACAGAACCTGACTTTCTAGCTGGACTGAGGGGAGTTGAATCCAGATTCTTTCATAATACAGAAGATGACTGTAACTTTGGTAGTCCTTTAACTTAACTGAATACATATTTGTTTTCATACAAATAAGGGTCACATGCATTGCCTCATTTATGGTGTAAGGATAAAAAAAGATGGCCTATACAACACACCCAGAATCAAATAGAAGCACAATAAAGGTTAGTTCTTTGCTTCTTTCCCAGCTACATCCAATAGACATACCAAGGTTGGACTCTACTTGCAGACCAGGCATCTCAGCATCACCAAAGAGAGGAAGAAGAGACTTGAGCCTGAGGAGCTTTTGGGGACACTGGTTTTTAAGCTTACCTTAGTCTTTTTTGAGGTCAACAAATGTTGCCTATCCCTTCCATTTCTCTGCTGGGAAACAGCTCCAGGCTGTTGCTGTGACCCACATATTGCAGATCTCTCCTGATCCTAATGGTGGTGGTGGTGGTGGGGGTGCTACAAAGATCTGTTGGGTGAGGCAGTGCTGACTTAGCAGGGACACACACTGACACTAGATGCAGATGTTGGTGTGAGCCCAGACTGGTGACAAGTGCTTCCACCAGACTCCTCACCACTAACAGTTCTGCTGAATATATTAGGTTCAAAATTTCTGTCAAGAAGTCTATAAACTAGACCAGAAATATTGAGAAGAGGCATTCCTTTGGAATTTCCAGTTCTCCCTCCTAGTATACCAGAGAATCTTAACAATACCTCAGGCTGCTTGGCACTCCAACTGAGAACAGAATTTCAGCTGAGACTGTTGAGAACTAGAACTGACAAATGGAAATGCTAGAGGAGGCAACAGAATCCCATTCTCTCTTTCTGGCTCATGCTGATTTAATTTATTTAATAGGTAAGAATTTATGAGGATTACTACATTCATCCTAGTTTCTTAATCATCTGGCAACTTATTTAGAAATTTTCCAAAGTGGAAAAAAAAGAAGATTCTCAGGTCTGATAACCAATTGCAAGAGAACAAAAATCTAAAGATTGGTTCATCTGTCTATGGTTTGTGTTCTCCTAGCAAAGAAATACTATTTGAATCATATATTATAGACTAGCATATATTTTTATCAGTTAGTCATTCATTTGATTTTTTAAAAAAATCATTAAAAATGTTTTGGAAATATCACATTCAAGTCATTATTCACCATGGTTGTATTAAAACTTGAATATGGATCTGTTGATTACTCTCTGGAATCTCAAATTGTAGAGCATTGGTGTGGGACAATACTCTGTGTCCTTTGCCCTGAACCAACTGTGGTTCTGAAGACATCATGTGAAGATGGTTGTAATCCTCCTTTTCCCCTGCCCCAGTAGCTGGGAGAGTAGAGGGAATAATCAGGAGAAGAGAGGAGCTGGTGACAAATTCCCTGGCATGGTTCTGAGGGGCTGAATATGTCTCTCTCTGTGACAGCTCCATGATCCTTTTAAGTCATGTTCCATAACTGCCAGGAGCCCAGTCTCCTCTCCTGGGGCCATCTTGTTTCTGTGCAAGCCCAAATGTTATGGTTGGTGGGTTCTCATCTGTGCACTTTCAACTGCAGTTTCAGGGCAGTTTCAGGACAGTTTATAGCTGGACTGAGGGGAGACTGAATCCAGGTTCTTTCATAATACAGAGATGACTGTAACTTTGGTAGTCCTTGAACATAACTGAATACATATTGACTCAGGCTGAAGGGTTTATTTACAAAGGAGAGAGAGAAGTTGGGAGAGAAGATTGGAGAGAGGAAAGTATTAGTGAAAGGACAGAGACAGTTAACAGTGTTTTGAAGGTCACAAAGTTCTTGAAAGTCATGAAGTTTTCAGGTCACAAAGGTCTTGAAGGTCTCAACAGAGGTGACATTACAGCAGTTAGCAACAGCAATTGTGAAGGTTGGGCAGAGCAGCACTGGACACTGGACCCACTGGGACCAAGGGTAACAGCATCAGGGGTGGTGCTGGATGTGTCAGAGGCAGAGACCAGTGTTATAGGTCTCAGAGAGGCTGGGCATAAAGCCAACAGCAACTTGCTCTTCTTGGGGCAAGTAGCACAGAGGCAATGGTGTCATTCAGCAGACAAGGTTAGAGGTCAGGTGCAGGAAGGTGTGGTACCAGGAAAGAGGGTTCAGTTTCAGTTTCCTGAAAAATCTGACTGCTCTTCCAACTGCCTCTTTAAGTCCTACTCAAGTCTTTCTCCAAGCTCCACACAAATCCTCTTCAAGCTCCCCCACCACCAGCATCCTTCAAGCTGATTGGAACCTGACTTAAATAGTCTCCAGGGTGCCCACCTTTTGACCCTAATTGGCCCTGTGGTTGATTAGCAACCATGGGAGATCCAAACAGATTGGATGGTTTTTCTATCCTATATTTGCATAACTTCCATGGGAGCTCCAATCAGATGTGAAGGTTTTAATCTTATATTTGCATAACTGCCAAAGTGAGGGGTGGAAGGGGAAGGAACTACATCAGCTGGAAACACTAGGAACTTGGGGGAGGGGACTCAAATCCCAGCTGTTTGTTTGGTGGTAGTCAAGCTCCAGTCAAATTGGTCCATTCTTAAGTCTATCCTGGAGTCTGATAGAAAAGTGAAAAACTCAGTCCCTACCCAGACTGGAAATGCATTGAGGTCAGGACCAGCTCCTGGGCTGGAGGGCTCCAAGGAACTCAGGGAGCACAAAGGAAAATGCACTAGATTCTCCTCAGCAGAGCTGGGTTTAATATTTTAGGGACCTTGTTTCAAGGACCCTGCTTCAATAGAAAGGTCGATGGTCCTGCTAAATGGGGCTTGTCAGAGAGGTCTGTGTTTGTGGCAGAAACAAAGGTAGAAGCTACCGGGGAAACCGTGAGAGAACCTGAACTCATCCCCTAGTGTAGAAAACAAAGTTGAGAGCCTCCCTGGTGGTGCAAAGGGTTAAGATCCAACCTATGAAGCTATCCGTAGCCACTGCAGCATGAGTTCCATCTTCTGCCAGGGAGGTGACCCACATGGCGCAGCAGGCCTCTCCTGTCTTGCCTGCTGCTCCCCTCAGCAGTGTATTTCAGTAGATCTGCCTGTTTGTTTCCCACTCTGTCTCAGGTGAATCCTCTCATCCCCTAAACTTCTGGCCTGTACCCCAGTTCTTGTATGCATAAACAAATATTTTTTTTTTTTAAAAGGAAAACAAAGTTGGACTGCAGGAGAACTCCATTCCCCTCTGACCAGGAATCTGCTGCCATCTGACTTGTCTTTGTATATACATTTCTTTTCTGTCCAGCTGTTGTTAAGATATTCTTTAACACTGGCTTTGAGCAGCTACATTATGATGCTCTTTATTCTAGTTTCCTTCAGGGTTTTTGTATTCGAGGTTGTTGAACCAATTGTGTCAGGGGTTACAGATATCATTTAGATCATTATTTCTCCAAATACTTTTCTGTTCACTTCCATTCTTTGGAAATCATAAGTGTATTATTAAACCTAATGTCCCACAGCTCATTAAAGCTTGATAGTTTTTATTCGGTCTTCTTTTTTGTAATTTACAACATATCATTTCCACCACTGTCTTTAGACTTATTTTTTTCTGCAATAATTTGCCAGATGTGCCATGCATATCTTTTTTATCTGGAATGATGCCATTTTTACCTGTAGAAATTAGATGGAAACTTTTTATATCTCCCTTCAATATTCCCTCTGTTCTGGAACATATAAATACAGGTACATATAAACTCAGGCACCCCTGAGTAAGTTTCAATGAGTGATTTCTGCCCCCCCCCCACTTCTTTTCTTGCCTAACATATATGACTAGATGTCAGGGCTGAAAATTTTACTCTGTACTGATATTTCCATAGAAATCTGAGCCTTCTGCTAGGACATGGTTAAAATTGCTCTGGAATAATTTGACCTTTATAAGTCTTGCTATATTAGAAGGATAACAACTAATATTTGCTTTCCTCATTAACAGGGGAAAACATGTCTGAACACTGTACATGATGCCCTTAGAATCAAGGTGGGTGCTATTCACATAAGTGGTGGAAATGAAGTATTCGCTCTCTGGGTGAGCCCCCAAGACAGACCATCCCCATCTTCCAGGTCGTCCTTCTCTGGCCTCCTGCAAATTCATAACCTGCAGGGCTACTCTGTGTTAGCTGGGAACTTGCAGGGTGTTCTCTCTCTCTCTCTCTCACTCTCTCTCTCTCCCAGCTGCCAGAGCCTTCCTAGACCCCCAACTCCATCTTTCTCCCAGAGAGACCAGGCTCCCCCTTGGGACTATTCTTCTGGCACCTGTACCATAGCCTGGTGATTATCTGAGAAAATTGTTGGGACAACCTCTTCCATTTTTCCTTTCTCAGGGGTCATCCCAGTGTCTATAGTCTTTAGAAACAGTGCTGTATATATTTTAAGTAGTTTTTTTAAAAAGAAGTTTCAGATAGAAGTGCAAATATGGAATCTTTTTTTTTTTTAAGATTTATTTATTTATGCATATAAGAACTAGGACACAAGCCAGAGGTATGGGGGGTGAGAGGATTCACCAGAGACAGAGTTGGGAACAGAACAGGCAGATTGACTGCCGGACACTGCTGAGGGGAGCAGCAGGGTAGACAGGAGAGGTCTGCTGCGCCATGTGGTTTGCTCCTGGCAGGCAGGGATCTAACTCATGCTGCAGAGGCTGTGGACAGCTTCACATTTAATCCCTTGGGCCATGAGAAAGGCCTCTGGAATCTTTTCATTTAATCTTTGTCAGTAGAGGTTCTCACCTTGCTGGTCCTGAAATCCCTTTTCCAAATGCATGATTAGACATTTCTTTTGTATTCATTTCTAACTGAATTCCTGTGCCAATGCTGGAATGTTAACACACATTTGAAATTGCATGATGTGAAGTTGAAACTAGTCATTCACAATGAATTTCATCAATAAAGTCATTCATTTATTCAATACTTCTTTACCAAATAAATACTGTACTTGAGTTTGAAATACTTATCCTTCAAGAAAAGAAACCTGGAGGGCCTCCCTGGTGGCATAAGGTTAAGACACAACCTGTGATGCTGTCTGCAGCCACTGCAGCGTGAGTTCCATGCAGGGAGATAACCATGTGGCACAGCAGACCTCTCCTGTGTCACCCGCTGCTCCCCTCAGTAGTGTATTTCAGTCAGTCTGCCCATTCTGTTCTCCACTCTGTTTATGGTGAATCCTCTCACCTCCCCCCACACCTCTGACCTGTACTCCAGTTCTTGTACACATAAATAAACAAATCTTTAAAAGAAAAAAAAAAGAACCCTGGAACCTGCCATGCTGGAACTGGGGTTTATGGTTTGCCTCGTAGCTTTATAGCTATAAACAAATGCAATATCCAGAATTTATACTTATATTTATTCATATACTTGGCACTTTATAGTAAAGCAATGCAAAGCTATGAGCAGACTATGAGAGCAGATGGATGCTTGGGAATTTCCTGGAGGAGGTGACATAGATGGGTAGAAAACATAGTGGGAATCATAGGAAAGAGGGATCTAGGTAGCAAATTATGTGTGATGTTCAAACAAGGAAATTTGGGACACTCTGAGGACCTGAGACGGCATTGAGTGAGTGGAGAGGTGAATGCTGTGGCTGAGGCCAGGGCTTCAGCACATGTGGCTTGCAATTGGAAGTTTGGATTTCACTGTAGGTGTTATGTGTACAGGTAGTTAAAAGGTTTCAATCTGGTATTTGATGGTGTGGATTTATATTCCAAATCCTGACTGTGTATGTCATGCTAACTTGATTGCAGAGGAAACAAGAATGACCAAAAGTAAACCAGTTCACAAGATTACTTCTGCTGCAGCAGTGGTCATGGGGACAGGAGGAAGCCAACTAAGCAGTCTCCAGAAGATCTTAATTTTCCCCTATTCTTTCTCAAAGCTCACTTTGTATCAGCTTGAAATGTTTTCCTTCAGGAATAAAGCCAACATTTCATTACAAAATGAATCCCTGACAAGTGAGATCCCTTGGGCAGATCTTATCCAGTGACCCACAGTGAAGATCCATTCTCATGGAAATTCTCTAAGCCATATGCTCCCAAAAGAAATTTGGGCAAGTCCTTAGTGGAATGTTGCCACTCAAAACTATTATTCACCAACCATTTATTGAAAGTTTATTGTGATAATACCATGTGATGAATTTTATAGAAGAGCTCTAAGTTAACATGGGAAATATTGGGAGGGGGGTACTAATAGCTCCATGGAAAGAGCTCCCCACAGGACTGCATGTGGTGAGAAGAAATCATATGAGCTTCCCTAATCAAGAATACTGAAGATGAGAGTGCAATGTGTGAAGAGAGGCAGGCAGATGGAATGCTCGAGAAAAACACCCTATAATGAGGCCAGGTAGACAGGCTATGGTAACAATGAGAACTCAGTGGAGCCAGAATCACAGGGTAAGGCAAGAATAGCCAGTATTTTGGGCAGATAAAGCTCTCTGTGGCTCTCAGAGTCTCTCTTTGTTTTAAAGCAGGTTGTGTTTAAGGACCAGGGGTGGGAACAGATGCAGAAGATTTCCCAGAGCTCCTAACAATGAGAACAGAAAAATCAGTCTCTCACCCAAAAAGCATTGAATACTAGCTGTAATAAATAGCTCTGGCTGAAATGGATGTTTGCATGGAGTTTTATGGTTATTCAAAGAAGCATATTCAACTCTAGTTCCACTGGATCTAAATGAGCCTCTTTTTCAGGACTGATTTGTTTCATGTTAGTGAGGAAGCAAAGCTTACAGTCATGCTGATTTTGCTGATGTAATAGCAAGGCCAGTGACATCACTATGGGACTCAGTGCAAAATGAAAATGCAGAGTCCTTTGTTCTTAAGTTATTAAGAATTTCAACAAGATGAAAACAGTGCTCAAAACCAACTTCAGGCCTTGTGCCAGAGAAGTCAGACTGGACACTCAGACTCAGCCGTAATCAGCAAACCCACTGATATGATAATTTCAGTCCTGGCCAGGCATGTTACAGGTGTGACATCTGCCCTGACAAGTACTGGGACAGTAATGGAAGGAAAAGCAAGTGGAAATGGGATTCACTCACCAGTTGCCCAGTCAACTGTCCCTACAGGTCAGAGCTCTGGAATATAGAAACTGGCTCTTTTCTTTTATAAAATGCATATTTTGTTAATTGTATGCTGCACATACAAATCCTTATACTTTGATTTGTAAAAAAAGATGCACTCAAAAATAAGTTATATTTATCTAAAATCATTATTTTCTGAAATAAGCCATAGCCATTCCTAACATATGTACATCCCTGCTTCTTTATAAAGTCTATGTCAGCTTTCTAACCATATTTGTGAAATTAGGCATTTACAAAGTATGGTTTACAGGTCAAGCATGTTCTTATCCCACTCAGAATAAATTATGCTTCTGAGATGACTGCATTTACTTAATATCCTGCAGCTTACTAGCTGAGGTTATAAGGTCAACATTCCATGCAGATTTCAGGAAATGAGCCATTTGAAGTTCAAATAGGAAAATGTAATCCCTGTTCAAAGTCTTCTCAGCTTTAAGGGGGTGGGGGGACTCTTTTGACTCTGATGATATTAACTTAGTCCTGTTTCCAAAATGCTGCCCAATGAGTAGATTTTGTGGCTCCTTATTTTATTTAGGGGGCCCTCATCTACTTTACGTATTTTCAAATTTAAGAAATACCCCATATAGAGATATGTGATGCTTTCCTTTTGCAATGGAATCAATTCTACCCCTTTGTAGGCCACATGTGAGCTGACTGCAACCTTCAAGTCACCACATCCTTACGCGCTCTGCTGGCTTCTCCCTGGATACAAAGTCCCCTGGAACCTTCCTCTCATGTGCCTAGCATAGCGACTTCCCCACCTGTGATTGCACTCTCCTCACATCCTGGATGGAATCCCATCTTCATCCATCTTCTCCTCCATGTATTGTGTGCCATCCCTCTGATTTCCCTTTCACTCATTTATCCATCCACACACCCATTAATTAAATATGTGTCTTTTTTACTTTTTATGTTATTGAATAATTCTAGATATCTACAAATAAGAAGTTCTCCTAACACATAAACTCAGGGCCCATGAAGTGTGTCAAGGAATGTGTCCGGTGGGCTTTCAGTGTGAGGGAAACACACTCGAAATAAGGGGTGGGATAAACAAGGATTTGGGGATCTGGGGCCAAAGTGATAGCTCAAGGCCTAATGAGGGTATGAGGAGTTTGAGCAGCTGCATGAAAAGTGGGGTGAATACAGGCTGTTTAGCATCACACTCACCTAGAGTGTGAGGGGTGAGTGATAAGACCTGCATCTGAGGACCTGAGCAGGAAAGAAACTGCACTGTTGAGCACGAAGCACCCACACACTTGAAGGGAATGCTGCCATCACCAGTGCTCAGTGAAGTGTTTAAAGCATTGGAAACACATGGATTTGAGTTTTAGAACCTGTGTGGACAGAATGGAGAATCAGTTTTTCTGAGATGGTTTGCATGATCAGAATGAGAAATTAACATTTGAACAAAGCTAACACCAGCGAGGGGATTAAAAAAAGGGGATGAAAAGAGAGGATGTATGTTTAAAAGAATAAAGGATGTAAAAATCTATAGACTCTGGTGACAGTAAGGAGTGATGAAAATGAAGGGGGACCCCACGTCAATGATAACTCCAGCATTTCTGACTAGATCTATGTGGTTGATGTAATTTCCTTACTGACTACAGAAACCCAGAAGAGAAGCCACTTAGGAAAATGTAATGAGCTCCATCTTATACATACTTATTTTAAAGTGTGGTGATTGAGTAGACGGGTCCAGGAACCAAGAGGAAGGAAGGCATCCTGCCTTGAATGCATTTGCCTTGAATATACAACTGTGTGCCTAGCATTGTCCTACAAATTATACATATAATGTTAAACCAGTTAATTCATATTATAACATAAGGAATATTTTTAATGAGGAACCTCACAGGTAGAGGCTAACATCCTCTCCAATATCTCCCAGCCGAAAAATGGTAGAGTTAAAATGGAAACCCAGGCTGCCTACCTTCAGAGTCTGTGCTGTGCTCCTAATCACTAAGCAAAACTGGCTTTCAGAAGAGGGTATATATGTGTTTGCCTCATTGGAGATGATCAGTAAATGTTTATAGAGTATGTAAATTAATGAACAGAATTAGTGAGAAGAGGTGAGATCCTGAATGAGCCTATCTCTAATGCCCTATGCTAGTCCAGAACTTATAAGTCTTGGCCACATCCAAGAGTGTGTCTTCAACACATCCAACTGGTGCTCATGGATGTGCCATGCTCTGGCTTCAGAGTCTGTGTTAACTGTTGAATATTGTGGTATGACACTGAGCTGTCAGGGCTGAGGCAAGACGATAAACAGAGACTAGGAAACTGGTCGATGTTGCAAGGGCCAGGCATGTGGAACCTCGCAGATTTGGGATGACCTTGAGAACCAGGATCCAGTGACAGTGTGGTCCTAGAAAAGTTAGCTCATTTATCTGAGCCTTAGTTTTTTATCCTATAAATTGAAGTGAACTGTGTGTCTTGCAGGGATGAGAGAGGACTTTCTGAAAGACCTTAAGACTCTGCCATGTGGAATCATACTCCATCAGCATATGTTAGGTGTTGTTATTAGTATTTCCAAAAGGATCAGGAGGAGAAACCAGTACTATGAATATAACGCCAAAAGTTATTGGCAAACAAAAAATCATGAAAAGTGAGGCTAGATAAAATGAAAGATTGAATGAAAAGTATAGGCACAAAGTGTCAATGCGGATAAGCAAAGGGCAAGTAGAAGACAGATCTGAAATCAGAGTTTCACAAGCAGTATTGTCAGCAATTGACCATAGAAGGATATCATATTTTTGGTTGGCATGTTGGACCTCACACTTCATCCCTCCAGATGGGTCCCCTAGACTCCCTGACCTTGGCTCTTGATAATACTTCAGAAACCCATGGATGTAAATATTCACCAATGGTTCATTTATCTCAAATTCCCCCTTTTAAGTTTTCCTTAGATGATGGAAGGCAAAAGAAAATCATATTAATCTTTTAAAGTTAAAAGTATTGTAGAAGTTAAATTACAAGGGCCTCACAAGAAGAGATAGAGCCTTTTCTGTGGTACTTTTTGCTACCACTGATGCCCACAAAACCCCAAACATCTCCCATAGTTCTGCTAAAAGGGGAATTGAGTTTTAGGTGCAATAAAAAAATGATTCCCAGTGAATTCTCTTTCAAATGATTGAATTTCTTAAGTGCTATGATTCAAAGAATGTCTGAGCTGGAAAGGGACTATAGTGGAGGCACAGAATTTGAAGTTTAAACACATGGTCAAGATTTTTCTCAGTCTCATAACCAGGATCAAAGCTCAGATCCAGGTATTGAATGCAATACTTTTCCTTCTTGTGAACCCACTACTTTCCCAAATGCATGTATTCTAGAGATGACTGTAATTGTTATTTTGCACTGCTATATTATTGAATTAATGCTGCTTTTGTATTGATTTAGTGACTTTAAACATGATCATTTAATCTCTGCTACAGTAGAAGTAACGTATCACTCAAGATCCTGCTAACTGTAGTTCTCAAGAAGGGAACATTAACAAGGAAATCACAAGGCAAACCAGAACTTCTGGCCAACCTATATTGCAAGATTTTAGGACAGTTTGTGAAGGCAGAAGTGGATGGAGTGTAAACTGCTCTTGTAATGTTGCGTGTAATCATGAAGAAAGCAGGATTAAGGAGAAGAGACAAGGAGACAGATGGGAAGAAATCAACAGGCGGATTCTACACAGTGGAAAATAGAATGCCTCCCAGGACAAGCAGTGCCCATCTGGAATCTTTATATGGAGTGGCAAACTATCACAGTAAATATTTTAAATGTTCTGAGAATGCCGCAAAGATTACGAGGTTTTGC